GGGGTGCAGGCTGCGGCTGCGCACCCCCTTGTTTTTTTTTTTTTTTTTTTTTTTTATCGGAACCAAGGGTGCCGACCCCCGGCCCCCAGGACACCCGCCGAGGCCCCGGTGGGCTCGACAACCCTGCTTACCGGTACTCACTCGCGAAACGGAATCCGGCATTAGAGCGCATCCGTGAATTCGAAGCCAACGATTGGATCGAACCCGCCACAGGTCCTTGGTCCTTTCCAGTAGTCTCAATTCCAAAGAAGAACGGATTTATTCGCATTTGCATTGATTATCGAAAACTAAATGATATCACGATTAAGGATGTGCACCCTCTCCCCTGAATTAATGATTTGCTGGCTGCGATTGGGTGTGTTAATTATTCTAATAAAATTTGATATTCGGCATGGATTCCACCATACCCTGGTAAGGGAAGAGGACCGGCCGAAGACAGCCTTTGTGTTGTTTGAAGGCACATGGCAGTGGGTTCGTTGTCCGATGGGCATATGCAATGCACCGGGGACGTCCCAAAGAGCGATGAATGTCACTTTTCAGAACTTCGTTAACAAGACCCGACTGACTTAGGGAATGATCAATTTTCGCTTTACTGTTTACATGGACGACATTTTGGTGTATTCTGAGTTGTTCCATGGACGCGCGCAGCATGTCGATTGGACACTTGGAGCGCTGCGGGACGCTGGCTTTAAGATCGCGTTGGAGAAAAACATTTTTTTCCTACCCGAGATCTCGTTCCTTGGGTACGTAGTAACCCGAGGGGGCTTGAGACCGGATTCGAGGAAAGTCGAGGCGGTTTGGGAAGCACCCACACCTACGTCACTGACGCAGGTTCGAGCCTTTTTGTGACTGGCCTCGTATTACCGACAGTTCATCAAGGGATTCATGGCAATTGCTCCGCCTCTAACGAACCTCCTACGGAAGGACCAACCGCTGAACTGGAACGCGGAGTGTGAACAGGCCTCTTCCACTCTGAAAGAGGCCCTGACCACGACGCCTATTTTAATTCGGCCCGACCCCGAGAGACAGTTCCTACTCATTATCCCAGCGGCGGTACGAGAACCACCAGGATTGAGGGCTTGTCTTTCGGGCGGCTCCATCTATTGGTGGGGAGCTGTCCCTTTGATACATCTTGTAGTACCCGTTGTTACTCCTACCATTATTATTTACCAGTCATTGTTTCCTGGGGCCTTGGTTATTTATCTTGCCAAACCGGGACTCCATCGTCCCATGGAGTTGCATGAAACACCCATCCCATTTTTGGAGCACCTTTTGCTTTGTTAACCCAGCCCTGTACGACAAACCCCTGATAGTTGTTACATTGACTGATATTGTAAAAACCCTTTAAGCCCTATACCCTGTTCCTACTCATTATCGATTGGCAGCCCGAAGCAATCTTCGCTATCTTGGCTCAGAATGGACAGGACACGTGAGAACACGTGGTGGAGTATGCTTCTCGGGCGATACCAGACAAAAGGAAGAATGACTCGGCGTCCCAAGGGGAGTGCTACGTTGTAGTTCGGGGAATCCAACACTTCCACTCATATCTGTATGGGCAGAAGTTCCTCCTCGTAACGGATCACCAACCCCTGTTCGCATTCATGAAGCTCACAAACTACACGGGTATGATTGGGCGGTGGGCAGTAAGGCTACGAGTTTGACATCCTCCATCGGAAAAAGGAGAGGCATGGGAATGCAGACGGGCTAACGCGTCTGCACAGGCCAGGCAAGGTGTCGCATGTCGAGGAGATCACCCTGTTGAAGGAGCCAGAGACGCCCAACCAGGTGATGGTGCTCCCTCGGTAGGCGAAGAAGTGACACGTATATAGCGTTCCGCAGAGCCGCCCACAGGGCCCGTATACGGCCAGGTGAAGGTGCTCCCTCGATAGGCGAAGAAGTGACACGTATACTCATCTCGTTTCGCCTGTACATCAGATACGCCCCCGACCTAGGCCGCGAGGTTGGCGATCACCCCGATTAAGAGCAAAAACGAGACACTTGCACTCCAACCCCTAAAACTTGACGCCAAAGATTTCAGTTCCGACCTGGGACTCCACCCCCCATTTTCCTAAAATCCTTCGCACACCCCTTTTCACACTTCCAAACCCACTAACACTCCGAAACAAGAAGTCGCGGTGGGCGTGAGGTTGGGTGTCACAGTGTGACCAGCACACAGGACCATTAACCCTACTTAGTATCGGGGGGAACTTGGACCACACAGTAGTGACAAGCACCAAGGCTAGCCATGACCCAGCCCCGATGGAAGTGGAATTGAACGAGCCTCATTACACGGGAACTTCGGATGCCAAGCTCAAGCAATCTCCTACTAGCCCCTAAGTTGACCAACTGGTAACTCACGCCCTCTACTCGCCCACCACAGTCCTAGCTGATTTTTAAGGCGGGGTACTTATCCTCGAAACGCCCATCATCATCATTAGTTAATCTGGACTAACCAGTGACTCACGCCCTCTACTCCCCCACCACAGTCCTAGTCTGCCACACACAGTCTAGCTGATTTTAAGGGGGGTACTTATCATCAAGAACCTATCATCATCATTGGTTGATCCCAATCAACCAGCGACTCATGCCCTCTACTCGCCCACCACTGGCTGATTTTAAGGGGGGTACTTGTCATCCAGACGCCTATCATCATCATCAGTTGATCATGACCTCCTCCCAACCCTACGGTTATGTATCTGTGTGTGTTCTGTATTGTAGGTGTGTGCCCGTAGGCGCTGTGTATGTTTTTTGTAATGTGTGTGGACACATAGCAGATGCTGCTCCCCACCATGGAGGATCTGCAAAGTGAGTACCGGTGAGAGGTGTCCATACCACCTCCGCCAGTACATGTGTGAAATGTGTAGGTAGTATGTATATATGCCCCCCCTAGAAGTACCTTTTGCCTCGACGCAGTGGAGGGGCAACCCTATGCGCCCTTAATCTGTTGCCAACGAATAGACAGCCCTCCTCCAGACCCCGGTCATCAGCTGGGCACCTCCCGCCCCAAAGGGACCCATGTCTACTTCCCCCCAAAGAACCCATGCCTACTTTATCTATCCTCAGTAGTAGACTGTCTCCCACCTATCAGCAGATTCCGGTCATCGCCTAGGTACTTCCTATAGGGATCGGAAGGGACAGACTATGGACTCAGCAGGTGGTGGGCTATCATCAAACTTCCACTAGCCCCCAGCCTTATCCCTCCGATGTGCCTTAGTCTGTGTGTGTATGGTATGTGATAGACTGACCATCGTGGTTGTACCTGTAGTCAGTGTCCGGGGTAGTGTTCATACGTGTGTGTGTGTGTAATATGTGGTAGAGGGGCTCGTTCGACACTCCTCGGGTGCGTAAAGTCCCCGAGGAATTGTTCGTTCCACTTATCCTCGGGGTTGCAGTGGGGAAAAAAAAATGAAAACACTCTCCGAAGGAAATTCCTCCGGCTCCGAGGATTCCCCAGCCATTTCTCCCTTTTGCCCAAGGGACCTCACCTCACGAGGTCCCTTAGGCAAAAGGAATCCGCGTTTCACGGAGAGGAGCGGGCTCACGCGTAGAGAGACGTTACAACCGAGAATCTGGATCGTGGCGGCACCCTGTTGGCTGAAGGCCTTAAGAACATTTGTTTTTTGTTTTTTTTTTCCTTTTTTCTTTTCTGACATCGCTCCAAGGAAACGTCCTCGGGCAACGTCCCCGAGGACAGGTGGAACGAAGGGCCCAAATTTCCTTTCGAGTGAAGGAATTTTTCCTCGGGCTCCGAGGACGCCCCAAGGAGTGTCGAACGAGCCCCAGAGACAGGTCTATCTGGACAGTACCCCCCCCAAAGTACGGAGCCGGGCTCAAACCTGTGACGTACAGTATGAGACTGGAGGGTTCTACCACATGCACTACTGTAGGAAGTGATTATAATGTGTGAAATATGTAGGCTGGTGGAGATCATCAGGGCAACCAAAGCCAACAACAGCAAGGAACCAATGTGAAGTCTAGACCAGCATACAACACGCATGGACTTACCCCTGGGTGGTGCGCACTGCGCAGGCAGTGTCCGTAATAACACCATGCGTCAGCCCAGGCGTGTGTGTGTCCAGCCGTGCGTCAATCTAACACCCTGCCGGCGTCCATGCGCAAGGCGGCAATTGAGTTTCCAACCCAACAAATAAAACCACAATGAGCATTTCCAACCGGTGCTCTAACCACTGGGCTACATCATGTTTTCATAAGCCGCCCTTGCTACCACAATGAGCATTTCCAACCTGTGCTCTAACCACTGGGCTACATCATGTTTTCATAAGCCGCCCTTGTGTAGCAACCGAAAAGAAACAGCGAGACCAGGTGAATGACTGAATGTGGACATGTTCGGGGGAAAAGTACAGAAAATGGCAGAATGACTGAATGTTGACATGTTCGGGGAAAAGTACAGAAAATGGCACTTTCTTTGTTTCTTGATCTCTCGTGTTTTCATAAGCCGACCTTGTGTAGCAAACGAAAAATAAGCAGTGACCAGGTACCACTAGCGAAGAGGATTGAATTGAATGACTGAATGTGGACATGTTTAAGGAAACGTACAGAAAATTGCAATTTATCTTTGTTGTTTCTTGATCTCTGCATAAAACACGTCCAGATTCAGGCGCCCCAGATTATCAACTTATTCAGTACTAGTTTTTTTAACTACTTTTTTTTTTTTTTTTACTTATTCACTACTAGTTGTTTTGACTTTTTTTTGTCTTTTTTTTCTTTTCTCCCTTTTCAACTATGCCATATTCTTCTCTCCCCTTTACAGAATGTCTGCTTTGTGTTGTTGTTCGCAGATGGTTTTCCCTCTTTTTTTTTTTTCCTTCTATGGACTTCATAATTTTACAATAAGTTTATAACTATATATTGAACTTGTTTCTTCCAACTACAGCATCTTCCACTGGTTGGTTTACTTTGGTTTGTTATTCGAACATTTTTTTTCTTTTCTTTGTCTTTTTTTTTCTTTTTCTTTTTTTTGGGAACCCCAGACATACAGCATGCTAGCTGACGAAGCAGAGTCGATGGGAGAGCTTGAGCAGAGCATCGAGTTCAATGAGAAGGTATCCCTTTTTTTTTGTTTTTTTCCCCTTTTCCTCTATTATTCAAAACAAAGCTATACTCTTCTCTCAATCTCATGTCACTACCTACCTACCACTACTCCAGGTACTCCTCTAAACCTATACAGGGGACACCTGCAAGCATAGCTAGCGCCCACAATGACGGGGATGCATGTTGTCCCCCCTGCCGTAATCAGTGGTGGTCAGGGAGTATGGTGGGCCCACCGACGGTGCGGCTATAACGCGAAGTCACAGCATTATGCAGCAAGTAGCTGCGCCTCCCATCTACTTCTCATGCCCCTCTTCGTAACAGCAGAGTCTGTCTGTTGCAAATTAATTGATAACCAATTACCTAAAAAATATTCCCTAAAAAATACAGAATGCATTTCATGTCATCCAGCCAGGAATAACAGCAGATATGCCAGAATGCACGACATCAGAACGGCAAGATAGACAGAGCTCCAGCCAAGAGGAGAAACACGACAGGGCAGCGGGAGGAAGAGAGGAGAGCGAGAAGCCAATGCAGCGACTCTCCCTAACACAACCCTGATGGGTGAACATATGAGCATAAAAAAACACCCATCTTGCCGCGGGTCTCGTGCAAAGCCGGTCGGCAGTTTTCCCCCCAACGTACAACGTATGATTGATTGATTGATTGACTGATGGATTGCGTAATGATTGACTACCTGATTGATTGATTGAATTGTTGAACTGAATTGAGTTTGACTGATGGCATTTTTTTTGCTTTTTTTCCGTCCGAACAGGGGATCAACTCCGATCGACTCCGCTTTTGTTATTCTCCCCTTCTGTTTTCAATGGGGGACTAGGGTGTGCAAGCCCCCCCCGCCCTGATGTTCCCCGCTGCAGGGGGGCGCCCAACAGTAGACCGGAGCACCCAGCGGCAGGCCTGATATCAACCCCTCTGGTTTGCCAAAAATCCTGACATTTCAAAACCATCAAAACAGTGTTTTTTTTTTTTTTTTTTTCTATATATTCCTCTCTCAACTTCTGTTTTTTTTTTTTGCCTTTCACTACCTACTCCTAAGGCTATCTAGAGGGGATATTGATACTCTATAAAGTAAGAGAAGAGTCGTAACAATAATGATGTATCATAATCTGGGAGTACGATAGGGAAAAAAAGAAAAAGAAAAAATGGTGAAGAGATAAAGAGACTGATGGGCGAAGATAGTATGTGGATGTCATACGCATTAAGGTGCAAGGTGGCGAAGAAACATTTAGGGGGTGAAGCCGTTTGCCCAAAATAGAAAGGAAGTGCTACCATCATATAATTATGGTCACCTGATTTAGACCACCACCATCTATAGCGGGAGGACTCTATGGTGGTGGTCTAAATCAGGTGACCATAATTATATGATGATAGCACTTCCCATATAAGATGGTGGTGGTCTAAATCAGGTGACAATAAGATCAACAAACTTTTATGTGGTGGTCTACATTAAGTTTGTTGACCTGATTTAGACCACCTGATTTAGACCACCACCAAAAAAAAAAAAAAAAAAAAAAGGTGGTGGTCTAAATCAGGTGACCATAATTATATG